GCTTAAACTTTTGTCATTGATTGTATATTGAGGAGAAAATATTTTTATTCACTTTCGTCTATAATGATATTATACAACGAGATAAGCATATGTTAAATTTATCATTGATCGACTTTAATACATTTCCTTTTTAAGAAAAACAATAAGATTAAATTGATAAATAAATTCTGCACGGTGTTTTTTTTTTGTTTTTTAGGCAAATTTGAGGTTTTATATCTCTTAATCCAATATTTATAAAACTCAATAAGAATAAGATATTTTTTTTATTATTTTTCATCATCTATTTAGAATGAATTATTTAAGTATTTTGCTTAGGAATTGAAAACTTTGAGAAAAAAGCTAGAACATTTGATTTTAATAAACGAAAATTTTTATATCGAATATTCGATATTAAGATGTCATTGTTTAGAATTTCTTTTTGTCGATTTATCCACACTTGAATATACGATGGATTACTTCGATCTCTAATAATTGAATGTATTGATAAAAAACGATTTTTTAACCATTGTACAAGTTCATCATTTGTTGTAGATGAAAAATTTTGACGATCACCTTTGCATTCAAATACTAACAATCGAAGATTTGACATTTTTTTAATAAGATGAAGAATATTAGTTCGATTGTTAATACGAATAAAAAGAACTTCACATTGAAGTCCAAGAGGTGAATCAATTAATTTATTACAATCTTCATCATTAAAATAATCTGAACCATTTAAAGAAAATTTTATAAGATCAAGTCGATAAATTGATTTACTTGTTAAATGAAATAATCCAGGATTTAATGTCTGATCGGATATAAGTTTCAATGAATAGAGATGAAGTGTTTGATTAAGTAATGTTTGTAATTGATAATAATCAGAATTTTCAGAGAGAAACACTTCGAGTGATGTTAAAATATTTAATGATTGAAAACAATGTAAAAAATTATTATCATATGGAATATTAATACTAAGATGTTGAATATAAGGAAAATGAGTATTGAAATGATTCAGACTATTAAATGAATTTATATTGTTCATTTTATTTTGATAGAAGATAGATCGAACATGATCATATGATCGATATTCTTCTTCATCAAAACAAGTAGATTTAGAGCAATATTCATTTGAATAATGAATAGTTTTGAAAGTATAAGGTAATGTATAAAGAGTTATTAATTTTGTAGAATCATATGGATTCCAATGACATCGAACAAACCATTGATGTTTTTCAAGCCAAAATGTACTTCGAAATGTATTGAGTATTTGATCGATTTGTTCTTCTTTATTTGTATGAAGACAAAATTCAAAATTTATTTTTAATCGAAATATTTTGATTTTAGGTAAATAATTAATAATAATATGTTCCCATTCATTTCCATCTAAATATATTTTTGATGTTTCAATTGTTAAATAATAAAGATTAGGCATTTTTTCTAAAATATTTTTCATTGAATCTAGAAAAATTTCAAATGAAAGTTCTAATGAAATCATAGAAGGAATTACAAATTCGAGATGTTCATTTGTAGAATCCGATTTAATAGTAGAACAAAGATGTTGAAGATTCGGAGTACATTCGAATAGACCAGATAGAAATCGTAAGTTACATTTAATATTCTTGATAGAAAGATATTTCATGTACGGTGCAATTGATGAGATACGAGGTGGTACAGTCAATTCTTTTTGAATACCATTTAAATTACAATATATAAGATTTGGTATATTCCATATATTATCGAATAAACTAAAAATACGTATGTATCTTTCACCATATTCATTATTGATTATTTCAAGATGAGTAAGATGAAGAAGATATCGACATTGAAATGTTATTTTAATTAATGTATCAAGAGATTTAATGTAATATAATGAAAGTGATTGTAAATGAATAAATCGATTAATAGTAAAATTTTGTGATAGAATAAGTTCAGATAAATTAGGTGTTTCTTCATTTGAAAGACGAAATGAAATAATTTTATCAATAAATAATGAAAAATGTTGTTGACAAATAATATCAAAATCTTCTTTTGATATCGATTGAAAACTAAAATAATTAGTTTGAAAATGAATATAAAGAAGTTGATCGAAACGAGAATTAAGTCCCAAAAATGCACGAATAAGATAAGTAGTATCTAAGAATTCAAATAAATCAAGTAGAAGTTCATTAGCCAATGATTCAAATTGTACCATATTTTTTCTTATCACGACGTAAATCGTCACTTTCAAATGTTTACCTGTAAGAAAATAAGAAAATTGTGTTTCGTTCTCTTTCTTTTTATTAAAACGGTTGACATAAAAAACATGCAACAAATCGAGTCATTTCTTTTCAATCGCATAGGTAAATATGCGTTAAATCAATTTTTTCAACGAATGAATCATCTCATTCTTCTTATTCAATGTATTTTTCATCTCGAGAAAAATTTACCAATACTATGAGAATTTGATGAGCACACATTGAAATTTTGTTTTAATTCCAAGATGCTAAACAGTTCGAATAACCAAAAAGAAAAAGACAAATAATATGAGAATGAGACAGATGACTAACAATAATCTAAATCATCAAAAACTAGATGACATTATAACACGTACTTCCATGATTAATAAACAAATTTGTGTACAAGAGACTAATGCTTATATTTTGAATAAACGCTACAGAAGAGTGTACACTGTTTTCTTTTCTCTTGACTCATTTGAGAAACGAATAAAGTAAAGTTTGGAGATCTAATCAGCTATGACATAATGATACAAAAGGTTAATAAGGGAACAATTCACTTTCGAACTAGGACTTAATGAATTATGTTTATCATGAAAAAGAATTCGTGTTTATGACCTGTACTGAACAAATTGAACATTTTTTTACTGTTGCAGCTATAAGATTCATCTATATATGTCAGCTTGTATTGCGTAACATGTCATCTCAATGACCGGAAGTTCGAAATCGATATCTTAAGCAATCATTACTGGTAATTGGTAACAGAGAAGTCACTAATAGTTTGATTATCTATGTGTAATACTTTTTCGCAGCGAGCTTAAGTGTCATCGCAGAACAAAAAATCTATATTGTTTGTTTTTCACCAGTTAGTCTCAACTTGTTTTTTGCAAAGAAAATATACCTAAAGTTAGGTTTTTATGGGCTATCTGATATACATATTTTTACTTGAAAAAGGTTCCATTGTATAATAACGTTACGTAATGCAATGACGTTTTTTTACCTTTCTTTTCTGCGTTTTTCATATTTTTAAACGGAACGTCCTCAAACAGCGATTTATTGGTTACTAACAAATTGCCAATAGAATATAGCTAATTGAGCTTAATTGATGATGTTCAATTAAAATTAAATGAATAGGTAGTGCACAACCAGTAGGCTAGCGTCATGTCACATACACAAAAGAATTCAATAGCATAATGTAAAGAGAATTTAGTAGATTTCCTTGATAACTTACAGTAACCGCCAAAGAATCTTAATTTTAATATTTTAAGCTATCTTAAGTGAGACGATATTGATAAAAATGTAATTAAATAAGATTAAAACATATAACTGTTTAACAGACATAATAAAAATGTTACGTTGATGTATCAAAAACTAGTCTATCTTTCACAGTCAGAGAATATCTTTAAACAAAGACACATATGCAGCAACTTTTTTAGTGCCAAAGTATAGAGCACACTTCGTTCTATTATGCAATGTATTTGGTTGGAAGCCAAAGTTATATTAGATGGACTATGTTTTCATTAATATTCATTATAATTTTTTTGCCGCTATTGAGTGTTCATTTTGTTCGATATACCAAGTTCATTGAACTAAAACTTGTGAATTTGTTACTTTGAAACTGTCTAAAGTCAATCTCAATGATATAAGTAATGATGAATTGAAGAAAAACAATAGTTTGCACCTGAGTTAGAGACGAGAATTATTTTAAATTCGATTAAAACGCATTATTTTGAAGATCGAAAAAGAAAATGTAAATAATGTCAACGTGTTAATTTTGACATGAATAATTTTAAGGCACTTTTATATGTAATGTTTTGATCTTAATCGATATGTGATGAGATAAAATGAATAAGAAATAATAATGAAAACTAGAACATCATATGAATAGAAAAAAATAAATTGAGATTAATATTCGAGAACATTCTGAAAAATCTCTTGACATTATTCTAATTATGAATGTGGATTTAGAACATAAATGCCCACAGGGAAAGGCAAGATGAAGTCTTCATATCCTGACAATGTCAACATCAAGATTTTGAAATTTCTACTTTAAAAATTTTTTTTGTTGGCTTAAAATATTGAAAAATCTTAAATAAGCTGCTAGACATGCTACCGGTGGTAATACAGAGTGTGTTCTTACATTTAAGAGTAGGCACGCAAGAGTTCAAGCTCAACAGTTCGTGTGAACTAAATCGAAGAACTGCAGCTAGTAACCAATTCATTAGAGTTGTTTTGAAGCTGATTATTATAGTCGTACAAAGAGGTTTTGATCATACTGAGTCCATTGATGCTGTTTGTTTCTGTTTTTAACCCAAATCAACATTAAAAAAAAAATATACTACGGTGCTTAGATTGTGAAACACAACGATACAAAAACCTAATTTTGTGAATTCTTCATCATATGACGTCAGATTACGTCAAAAATCATCACGTCATCCTTTCAGCTCAAATGAACTAAATTGTTAATTAATATGATGGGTTTTTGAGTAACTTCGTAGTTGTATTTATTGACGTGTATGTGTGCGTGTGTACTCTCTCACTCTTTGCTGATATTTTTTTCCTTTCTGTTCGGATATATTATTCTTTTCGTTATAGTAATTATTTTCGGCCTGCTGTTCGCCCCTCTCATTTTTTTTTGTACTCACTCCACTTTCATACTCGTTATTCATTCAGTAAGCTTTGAGTATAGAACGACAACAATATTCTTTCATGTTTTCTAAACGCATTTTATTGCTTGTATTTGCCATTTCGATTCTTTACTCTGTATTAGAGGTTGAATCTATCAATGAACAGCCCTCTGTTCGACTTATGAATGCTGTTCATGGTGAGGTTCTTATGCCTGTCGTAGGACTGGGTACAGGAGGATACGGTCAACCTGATGGTACAGGCGGTGAATATTGGGGTCCTGAACAAGGTCATAATGCTACAGTAGCATGGTTGCAGTTGGGTGGTCGACGCATTGATACATCTAACGACTACGGTTCACGCGATGGAATTGGTACAGGATGGGTGGCTAGTGGTGTACCTCGTTCCCAAATATTTATCACATCCAAAGTGGATCCATCTGGCTATGCCGAAACTCTTGAAGCATTTTCTGCCATTCTCAAATCTCTGAAGACCGAGTATATTGATCTTCTTCTTATTCATTGGCCGGGCAATGAGCCGGGCACATCCGGTCAGCCAATACCTTCTTGCAAACAGGGAAAATCAAATTGGGCCGAGTGTCGTGTCCAAACATGGCAAGCATTACAAAAATTATTTGATCAGCAACGTGTAAGAGAGATAAAAAGTTCGATTAATTATTGATCTTAAATATTCATTTCTTATCGTTTCTAATATAATTACTCTCTTGTTTAGGTTCGTGCAATAGGTGTGAGCAATTTTGAAGTAAATCATTTATTAGAAATTTTTAATTTAAATTCTTCTATTCCAAGTGTCAATCAAGTATGTTCATTTGATTAAATATTTTTTTTATTGTTATTTATTGTGAATAGGTTGAATTTCATCCATATTGGCATGAAGATGAACTTCTCGATTTTTGCAAGAAACACAATATTACCTTTAACAGTTACTCTCCAGGTGGTGCACCTGATCATGCAGTATGGTTTGGTCCTTCATGGAATCCTATTCCGGATATGCGTACTCATCCAAATGTTACTAAAATTGCTCAAAAGTATAACAAGACATCTGCACAAGTTCTATATCGGTGGCATTGGGAGCAAGGTATTGTTATAAATCCTCGTACTCGAAATTCAACACATATGATGGAAAATCTGTCGATATTCGATTTTCAACTTGATATACAAGACATGATGACTTTAGCTTATTTGAATCATCCAATAAGTAAAGTATGTGGTGATCCAAGACTAATTTTGTAAATCCTAAACGATCAATCGATATAAGATATCCACAATTCGAACAAAGCTACTACATTAATATATGTCTATTAATAATAAATGTGCGAATTGACATTTTTTACTTTGTTTTCTAATTGGTTTGATTATTCACACATCATTGTTATTTGACAATATTCAAGCACTTATCAATTAGTCAACAAATTTTTTTCGGTACTCTGTAGAATTTCTTTAGAGATACATTTTTTTTCTTTGTCAAAAACTCAGTGAGTCAATAAGAAAGATGAGAATGTCAAGCTCGCCCATGGCAATTTTTGCTCCCAACTATTGATCGCCACCCAAGGGACCACTGTAAAATTGTGTTACAGGTACATTGAGTTCTTTCTTAATTAGTTCTGACTTCTTTTCATTGTGAGCAGCAAATCCAATTCGTTTGTGTATGCTCATAGTTCTGACACCAGCCATTTTCTGAAAATTTAAAAAGTATTACAGACTTGCTATCTTTCTATCAATGTAGTTAGATACCTACTTTTTCTATGATTGTCTTATTTCCATTGGCTTCCTATTCAATGGTTTGATAGTATTCGGCACGGTATCGATCATTTTCTTGTATTATCATAAGGCTAGTCAACGCTTCATTGGATTCTCTATCGCAAACTAAATCTGGATCTAAATAAATTTTTTGATGAAATACAAAAGAAATGTCTGAGAGACATACTGTTAGAGTCAAAATAGTTGGTGATGGCTTGCTGAAAAAAAAGAAAAGATCATATTTCTTTGAAAATACGTATAATTATCAGTTTTTATGTGTATCTAACTTAAGTTCGATAGAAAAATGTAGTCATAAAGCAGATACTGATCAAACTCGATACAGAAGAGATTATCGATGTATCCCGTAATTCAGTTTAACGACACCTACCCATTGCTGGAGTTTCTCGAGAATGGCTCACTGACAACGTCTAAAACTTTCCACTTCGATAGCTCTTACGAGGGAACATTTCTAACTGTCACATCGCTTTTGAATCGAGCGTATGCGCATCATGCAGGCCCTAATGATCTATGAATATTCTGAAAAAAACTTCATGCCGCTTGCTTATTACTGCCGAGATATTGCATTTTTATTGTATGTTTAAGAAAAAAAAGCCGTGGTCCCCCTCACGAACACTAGAAAAACTAAGTTTCGAATTTTGACTGGAAACTTTGCAGTTTATTGTGAAAGTTTCAGATCTTTTCGTTGTTCCTACCCTAAGATACAGCTATAGTAAAATAGCTTATATAAACCAGCAGATTCTAATATTCTTATTTCAGGCTAGGAGCAATCAAAAGATCTGAAACTTTCACAATAAACTATTCTCATTGAGACCTGTTCCTGTACAAAGTTTCAAGTTGAAATTCGAAACTCAGTTTTCCTAGTCTTTATGAGAGGAACCACGGCTTTTTGCTTATAAATATGGTAAAAATGCAATACCTCGGCAGGATGCGGATACGCTCGACTCAAAAGTGATGTGACAATTGGGAATGTTCCCTTGTCAATGGCTTATTTTTAGATTCTTTTTAAAAAATGCATAGTTTTTAATAAGTGAAACACAAACAGTTATTCATTTCTCTTTCTAAAAGACTTTAACTATGCGATTGTACTAGAATCATAAATGAAACTTTTGATTTTTGATCAATAATATTTTGAATGATTAATGATAGTCTCTAGATAATATAATTAGAATATATTTTCTTTCTGATTCATATTGCATTATTATAAACTTTTCTCTTTTGTCAAACAATTGAATGCATAAAATAAAAAAAATAAAACTTTTTTTTTTTTTTGTTTGTATATATAATCATATTTAAAAAAAAAGAAAGAAAGAATTGAGAACTATTTTATAAAAATTAATTAATCATCATTTTCTTCATTGTCAACTTCTTCTTCTTGTTCTTCTTCTTCACCTTCATCAGCTGCTTGTTCTTCTGCTGCTCGTGCTTTAGCTTCTTCTTCTGGTGATGGATCTTCAGCTTCACCAATTTCTGGTCCATCACTATATTCATTAGCTGGTAATGGTGGTAATTCTGGTCCATAATCTGTTGTACCATATTTATGTCCAAAACCAACATAAATATTTTCCCAAGCTGTTCCACGAGCAAATGCATATGCACCAGGCCAAAGATTTGAACGAACAAAAGCACATGCATATTGTGGAATAAGATTTGATGAAATTTTTGTTGTCCATGCTTTTGTATTTTGTATTTCAACATCAGCACCGATTGGTGTTAATAATGGTGGTCCTTGTTCTGGTTCAATTTCTTCTGTTTCAGCTTTCATTTCTTCTTCTTCTTCATTTTCTTCTTCTTCTTTATCAGCATTTTCACCTGGATTCCACCATTTTGTTCGTCCTTGAGGAAGAATATATTGAACATGATGAATCTTTGAAAACAAAAATACAAAAATGAAAAATCTTTTTTTTTTTTTTGCTTTACCCATCCATTTAATTCTTCATCAAGTAATTCTGATAATGTTGCACCTTTAAAATCTTCATTTTCTTGATAATTTTCTCTCGCACCTTCTTCTTCTGCTTCTTCTTCTTCCTTAAAAAATAAATTTGTTTTTTTTTTTGTTATTTAAATTTAATTTCTTTATTTTACTTCAGAAAATTTAAATTTTCCAGCTGGTGATACATGTGTAGTTGCACTTATTCTTGCAATTTGTGCTCGTAAATAATTTTTTTCTGTTCCTGGATATGCTGGATATGATATTATTTCTTTATTTAAATCTCCTGTAAAAAAATGTTTTATTAAACGTGCTTGTGATATTTGTGCTGGTGTTATAATAGGTAATTTAATCCATGATGTTCCAGCTAGAAAAAGATTATTAATTTATTTTAATTAAATTAAAACTATAACTTACGATGATTACAAACATAATAAGTAAATTTATTAACACCTGTACCACGTTCTTCTTTTGGTACAATAGATGGTGATTTATATGTTGATTTTGGTAATGGATCTTCTTCATCTTCCATATCTTCATCACCACTTTCTTTATTATCATCATTTATATGTGTTTCTTCATTTAATTCATTTTCATCTGTATTATCTTCAACATTTTGTTCAGCTTCAGCTATATAATAATTTTTTTGTGTACCAAAAATTTTACCCCAAAAACGTAATTTTTCTAAATGACCTTTATCAACAAGTTGTTTAAGTGAAAGCCAAATTCTATTTACAAAAAAAAAAATTTTTTTGTATTATTATTTCATTTTATTTTTACCGATATGCTTCATCTTTTCCAATACTAATACCAGCTTGTTCAAAATAATATGCTTGTTCAAGAATATGTGGTAATGGTGATTGTAATGCTTCATCATCAAGTTCTTCATTATGATCAACTTTCTAATTTAATTATATAAAATAATAAATTAAATAATATAAAAAATAAATTACATCAAAAAGTGGTTTTTGTTCTTCAGCTAAAATATGTTCAGAATCTTGTGCTGGTCGATCTCGTAATGTATCATGTTGTGGTGGAGTTGCTTCACTTTTTATATTTTTACTAACATCTTCTACTAAATCAGCGCCATCTCCTTTAAAAAAAAAAAAATTATTATTTAAGAATAAATAATTTTATATTTTTTGTTACGTGATTGATCAGCTAATAATCGAGATATACAATGTGCTAAATGATCATATCTAAAACAAAATATTCAAATGAATCTAATTATCTAATAATAGTAAATATATATTTACAAGTTGGTACCATCTTTTGTTGTTGCTGATAAAATATAAGCTTTAGCATCGATATAATGTTTTTCTAAATCATTACCATTTAATGATCCATTTGATTGTTGTTGATCTATACAGATAAAATTTTAATTTTTTTTTTTTAAATATACTATCATATAAATCAAACCTCCATAATATGAATTAATTGTAGTACTCATTGTTAAAGTAATATATTAGAAGTGTTTGCGTTTTTTTTTTTTTGTATTACTGTCTTTTTGCATCTATGGTTTCACATATGTTGCTTACCAACCATCCTCCTCCCGTTCTTGTTTCATTCTTTTCTTTACTTTCGGATGGTGTCGCTGAATAAAGGTGTAAAAAAAAGAGGCACCCTCCCGAAGTCTTATATTGACAGTAAGAGTGCAGAAGTTTTAAATTATTGATCATTTTTATTTGAGAAATAAAGTGATGATTTCAATCAATTGAAGAGAGTTTGTTCGTTACACTTGTCCCTTTCTCTCTCTCTCTATCCCTACTGACAATTAGTCGGTGTGAAACAATTTGTCAATGTAAATGTGTTTCTTTCTCTCTCGAATGAACGATCAAACGATAGTCACCTGCAAGATACACCAACTATACCACCATTGTTGATAATGAATAAGCGGCAAAATCGAGAAGTGATACGGTGATTTAGTGAATGTTTGATTGTCAAATACAAAAATGAGAAAGAAATAAATCAGCACATTTAAACACACTTATCAAGGATAGTTGAATAGAGAAAATGACGGATGGTCGATTTGACCCTCCTGTGTTAAATCACCATTGTCTTTATTTCCTTTCACCTTACAAACAAGAAGGATTATAATATAACATACATTGATACAGGCGTGCATGCTCTCGAATGTACATGTTGACTTGAACAATGATTCTCGTGTGTATGTATCATGATTATCCCTCTTCTCGTCACCTGAAACAAAGTCAAATTTCATGTGTGTGACAAAAATTAAATCCTCCCGATAGGTCATCATCAACGTTAGCTACTGAATTTTTAACTTTCTTTGAACTTCATTTGTACATATATACATATATCAAATTGTACTCTCTCTCTTATATGTTTACGTAAGAGCAAAGATTGAATCAGTATTTTAATCGATCCTAAATAATTGAGAATGTGTCACATGTGATCAACAAAGCGGCATCAATCATTTCAAAACCAAATAACACTTTCTCTTAAATACACGCGTTCAACCGCTTCAAAAGACTTATTCGTCTGTCTATTCGTTCAAAGTGTAATTTGCAAATAACAGACATACTAATAAAGAAACAAAAAAAAAAAAAAAATCTCTTTCGATATATATATATATATAAATTGACAAATAACTAATTTCATATTGACACGCACGTTTGATTGTATGTATATATATATATGTGTGTATGTGTTCTATTTGACAGACAAAATAATACTCAAGAATTTTTTTTTTTTTTTGTATATATTTTTTTGTTTGTTAAAAAACAAGTTGAACATAATTATCAATACAAATGTGATGTAACTGTATTCATCAATCTGTCACCTTGCGAAAAAGTATACTGTTGAACTTGTTCGATCATGTTGGGAGATTAGTGAGAAAAGAAGAAGAAAAAGAAGAAGAGATGACATCAGAGCGGATCTCTTACTGGCTCAAACTCACACGTACCGATTTCAATGGTATATGATGATCATTTTTTTTTTCTCTTCTTTTAATTTGTGCCGCCCTGTTTGTTGTCGGACTTGTCATTGTCCATCACTACTAAAGTTTCATTTTTTTTTTGAAACAAGCAATTCGATATCATCATAGGATACCTTTTTGCCTTCGACCTCGATCAATCTACGTGTCTTCCTTCTTTTCTTCTTCTTCAATCATATAAGCAGCTTAATGTAAGAAAAAAAAACATACATATATATTCTGTAGACCTCCATCCAGTTCCTCTTTATATTGACTTGATTATTCCGCTATGAATATCGATACTAATAAAGTCATACTAACAAATATATGCACACGCGTGTGTATGTGTATGCAATATTGACCGAGCACGATCAACATTCGTTCGCTTTGTCATTCAAATAGTAACAGGCACTAATCTTTGACAGGCAGGTAGTCTTTCTCTCTCTCTCTCTTTCTCCTTCTTCGCTTATTTGTTTGTGGTCGTTGTCGTCGGTTGAATGGAACCAGTAATATAGTCGAATAGCAATTTTCTTCTTTAGCAAATAGAGCGTGCACAAACGTCTATTGAAGATTATAAAAATCTTCGACAGAAAGAGAAAAAAAAAAAAAAAGGAACCTACATCATATGAGTAGTGAAGCTTAACACAAGGATCTTGAATACGCGAAACGGCGACGACATTTACCTATCGATTGACGAGGTCGACTACATTCACGATCCTATTGTCTTCTTTTCTATTCACATACAATAAATGACATATCATTAGAAGATACATCTATAGACAATCACCAATTAGATATCCCAAGTGTCTTGTTCACACATATGAATATAAGTGTATGTATGTGTGTGTATGTGTGCTCATCTTTATTATCAATTTTTTCTTTCACTTATTTTTTCTTTTTTTTTTTTTTTACTTTGAAAAGTTGACATGTAAACGTCATTTCTTTTAGTGTTGATTTAGGATGAAATCACCTTGCTTACTGCCATTTTCGATATATAACTTTTGCCTCGGCATTTTAAATGTATAAAAAGTAACAAAAAAAAAAAAAATGAAGACGAAGACGAAGAAAAAGAGGTACATTCATAAAGAAAATTTTGCGGGCGTGGATTGTATTTTCACTTTGTATTGACTTTTTTTCTTTCATTCGAACCAATGAGAATAAACTTGCCTTTTTTCTTTTAATGTCATGAGCCAAAATCGATGACTAGAGAAGTAGAAGAAAAAAAACGACACAGAGAGAGAGAGAGAGAGAAAGAGAGAGAGAAAGGAAATATATATACATAGACATATCAAACACCACCCAATGAATTGATTTTGTATGCGCACTATTCTCTGAATGGTTGTTCGACTTTTTGTCGTTCTCTTTTTTTTTCTTTTAATAAAAAGTGGCCTATCCATTTCAGATTTTGATTTCATCAATGAACGGACATCGACAAATGAATACAACAACATCAAGTAATTTAAAAGATCATTATTTTATTTTTAATAGAAATTTAATTTTTTTTTTTGTTTTTTTTTAGGTCGTATTTTAACAGATGTTCCTTGTAAAGTTTGTCATGATAATTCATCAGGCAAACATTATGGAATATTTGCATGTGATGGGTAAGTTAAAATTAAAAAATGAAAAAAAAAAAAACATTTTAGCTTGAAATTTTAATTAGTTTTTTTTTTTCTTCTTTCTCTACTAATAATTTTTATCATAATGGTATGTGATATATATTTTGTTTCGTTTTATGTTTCTTTGTGAAATCGTTGATCTAGTTAAACAAAACAAAAAAATAATTCTCTTTGTCTTTTTTTTTTCAAAGATGTGCTGGATTTTTTAAACGTTCAATACGACGAAATCGTCAATATGTATGTAAAAATCATGGATTAGGAAATTGTCCAGTTGATAAAACACATCGTAATCAATGTCGAAGTTGTCGTTTAACACGTTGTATAGAAGCTGGAATGAATAAAGAAGGTATTTGTTTATTTTTAATTTTTTTTTGAATGTGTAGACAGACAAAATTGCTGCTTTAAAAGACTTTATCACAAAATTTTTCTTTTTTTTACTTATTCGACACTACTACTTCAGCGTATATTTATCCACTTCAAAGTGTGTTAGTTCTTCAAATGACTAAAATGAAAAAACATACCTAAAGCAAAAATAACTTTTTAATATTTCTACTTGTTGTTCTATTTGAATAGCTGTTCAACATGAACGTGGACCAAGAAATTCAACAATACGAAGACAAATGGCTTTATTACTTAAAGAATCGAGTGATTTAATTAGTGCATATCATCATCAACAACATAGTTTTTCTCATCGTCATCATCATCATCATCCAATACCAACAACATTTCATCATCCATTATCATCATCATCATCATCATCATCAACAACAACAACAAATGGTATTGATTATAATAATATATCAACAAATTCAACATCAATTATACATCCAATACCAAAATATCCATTAGATTTACGTACAACAATTATTGAACATCAATTTGATGCACATGAATCAGCTGCAAGAATTTTATTTAATGCTATTAATTGGGCAAAAACTGTTCCAGCATTTGTATCATTATCTAATCATGATCAAGTAATGGAGAAAAACAAAAAAAAAATTAATCTTCGTTTTTCTACTTTTCTCTATTTTGTTATAGCTTTCATTACTTGAAGAAGGTTGGCGTGATTTATTTATTTTAACTGCTGCTGAACAACAATTTTCATTAAATATAACTGATCTTCTTAATAAATCAGGTACAAAAAAAAAATTTTTTTTTCTATAATAAAATTTTTTTTGTTTTGTTTTCGAATAGGTAAACATGAAAATCTTAAGTCAGATATTGAATATTTTCAAGATTTATTAATTAAATTTAAACATATGGAAATTGATTCAAATGAATTTATTTGTTTAAAAAGTCTTGTCTTATTTAAAACTGTTCTTTGTAATTGTCAAACAATGACAAATCCACAATTACAAGATTTACATAGCATTGCTTATTTACAAGATCAAGCACAAATATTATTAAATACATATATTAATAAACAATATCCATCACAACCATATCGTTTTGGTAAATTATTACATTTACTTGCTGGTTTACGTTCAATATCATCATTAACAATTGAAGAACTTTTTTTTCGTAAAACAATTGGAGATAAAACACATATGGAACAACTTGTTAAAGATATGTATCAAATAAATATGGCAACAATTGTAGCTAATTCATCATTGTCTTAGACAAGAAATTGTTTTTTTTGTTTCTTTTCTTCTTCTTCTTCTTTTTTTCTTTTCCTTCGTTCCCGGTTTTGGGTATCAATAATTCATTTTGTTTTTTTTTTGTGGGTTTATTTTTTTTTACACAGTGCTATTTACGGGCCATTTTTTTGTTTTGTTTCTCTCTCGGGCACTTTTCTTTTTATTGTCATCATCGTTTTCTCTTGTACTACTTGTTATCACGAGATGAGTTGAATAAAAGAATTTTTGTGTATACACTATATATATATATATATATATATCGCCTGCTTTTCATTCCAGAGGCTAAATGGAACAGTCATTACTCAGTTCTAATCTATGTTAAGAGAGAGAGAAAGATTTAAGACATGTTCTCTCACTCGCATCAATTTTAATTTGAGTCAAGTGTCACAAAATCGGAAATCAACGTTTTTCTCTCTCTCTCCCTCTCTCTCGATAGGGGTGGAGTTCAATGTAAAGACATCACCTTCGCTTTCACGCGCCTGTCCGATTTGACTACCATTGATAATTAGGTAGGGGTCATCTTACTTTATTTTCTAATGAAGACAAGCATAGCCTATAGTTGATGATTTATCAGATGAATGAACTCTGCTAGTATATATGTCTCGCGTCAACATGAGTCCCCACACGTGTCTATTCGATGATCGGTAATAACAACATTGAATGCGTTAAATTTTGCCATAAGCTCAATTGTCACTTGCATTTTTTTTTTGTTTTCTTGTAGGGAGAGAGAGAGAAAAAGGAGGAGATGAATTTTCAAATTCATCAAGCACAAACTTCATTTTGATTATATAATCAAACGCATTGAATTGTATTAGATTTGTTTGAAAACAACAACAACAACAACAACAATAACTTTTATTTATCAGTTAAGATATATTTTGTTTTTTGATATAAACATATTGAAGAAAACAACACTCGACATTCTGTTTTTTTTTTTTGTCCTCTGTTATACTTATCCGAGATTAAGTACTGTTAAATCTTCTTTACTTAATTAACTATTTTAAACCTCCTGATGAGTGACTAGTAGTTTTTGTAAAGATGAATATAAATACAGAAAAGTGGATGAATTTAAAGGATTAAATATAAATCAAGATCAAATTCAAATTTTTAGTTTTACAGATTTATCCGTATTATAGTTAAACAAAAAAAAAAAAAAAAGAAAGAAAAATAACAATTATGTTTTTCTTTTTTTTTCACTAAATTGTTCATCATCATAGTTCATGTTCTATAATTACACATGAGGGTATTGTCCATTTTGTTCGTCTTTGTTCTTTTCTATACATGTACTTACATGTCTCGTCTACCTTCAATTTTGAGACTCTTTCTCTCTCGTGTGCTCAATATGTGAAATTGCCTTGAGGGTATAATAGTAGAAGAGAAAGACCAATGGCTGATCATTGATTGTTAATTGGGGACGAACGACTAATTACTGGCTAGTCTAGTATCAATTACACGGAGGAGGAGGAGAAGAAATATTCTTCTTGTTCAATTAAATATCGAAAGTATGTGTTGAAAATCTTTTTTATCAATAATAATAACAAATGCGTTAACTTTTTTTTTTCTTTGCCATAAGCTTATATTTAGAAAATTGAAATTCATCAAGCAAAAATATTCAAGAACTGATATTACATTCGATTATATAATTCAAATTTATTCATGCATATGAATACTTTTTTTTTACAAATAAATTTATTATAATTTTATAATTTTTTACGAGCTTTTACATCGCCAGTATATGCTTTAAAACGATTATCGATTTGAGTACGACGTTGTTTAACTTCTGATTCAAGTTTTCTTAACTAGAAAAAAAAAGAATTAAACAGAAAAATAAAATTATTCAATATTCTCTTACTTCACGTAGTTCAAATTCTGCTTGACGTTTTTCTTCATATGCATTTCCTCGTACTTCACCACGACGTTTAAGTATTTTACCAGTTATTTCACGTATACGATCTTGAACTTGTCGATCACGTATACGTCTAAAAAAAAAAAACAAAAAGAGCCAATATAAATACATTTCACATAAACTCATATTATAAACCCGATGATGTCAACTAAGATACATATATTATTACAACTATATCCATATACTTAACTATCAAGGTTTACAATTAGCAATTCAGATGCGATAAAATCATAAAAAAAAACAACTTAATATTTTTCATTATGCATCATAATTTTCAATGTTATTCTGTTGTATATTAAACGATTGAATTTAGAAGAGAACTATGAGAAACTAAAGGTTATAGTTAAATATTCTATGATTTTAAGAATTATTAATCAGAACATAATATGTTTCTTTTTTTTGTTTTTTTTTGACCAGAATTCTTGATTATCAATTGTATTTACCTTTCTTCTTCTTCTCGCATAGCACTTTCAGGTGAACGATTACGTCGACTTTCATATCTGATTGCTTTTTCGATCATTTCCTGTTGATCTTTGTCCATAACAGAAATATAATGAGGATCAATACCGAATGGAGCTTGTACGACTGCTTCTTGATAGTCTATTTTGTTTGTTTTTGTTTTGTTTCAAATAAAAGATATGTAAAAAAAAAAAAAGAAATTTACCTTTGCCTTTAATAAGACGTTTTCGATGTAATTTTTGTTGATTAGAACGATAATTTTCTTTCCAATCATATAATAATTCTTTACTTTTAACTTTTTGTAATTCTTCATTAATTTTTATATTATGATGCTTTAAATTAAAAAAAAAAGTAAATTTATTATTCTTTATATTTATAAGTATGAGAACATACTTTCATACGTATAAGTCGTTGTTCTTCACGTGCTCGAGCTGCATAAGTATCTCCCACTGGATCATTTGATATTATTTTTGTTGGTTGATTGTTTTTTTTTATTTTTCTAAACAAATAGAATATTAGAGAACAAAAAGAAAAAGAAAAATTCTTCTCCGTGTTTGATTAAATTAAGATAACAACACTTGAGAAACAAATGAAGCTCACTCACTCTCTCTCGTTCGTTATTGCAATAGCAACAAATCAACCAGTCAAACATAGTGGTACAATCAACAACAGGATACAAAAAAAAAAAACATGATAGAGAGAGAGAAAGAACGATTGAAAGTGCAAGACGTGCACAGATTTGTCGACACTAATTTGTTTTATAAAAACAATCAACATACACTCGAGGTAGTTTGATATCAGACTTAGCTCGTTGTCGACATGATGGTGAAGGATGATGGATACGCATTTCCGAATAACTCACTCTCTGATGATGTATACATGATTGAAGATGAGTAGTTAACGGATTTGCAGTAGCTGATTTATAGTAGCTCGCTTCAGATCTATATATGGAAATAAGGTCTAGATGAGCAATACACTATGCTCGAAATCATTTCACCAAAATAAAAAAATATGGTGAATGATTTTATTGTTTTTTTTTTTTTTTTTTTGTGTTACTATCAAAATACTTAGATTTTCGAAGAAGTATCAACGATGGACGAGATAAAATGGTAGAAGGTTTAGGAGACCTTGATATTCGTCGTTGTTGATCATCATTATCATCATCTGATGATGCCCAAACATCTTGTATAATATCTGTTTGTTGTTCTTCATCATCATCATCATAATTTTCATCGTCAGAATCATATTTTGAATGACGAATATGTTCATTACGTAAATATTGTTGAATTGCTTTTATACCTTGTTTAACTATTTCCAATGGTGGATGAACTAATGGATTACCATCAAGATTAAGAGCTGATAAACCTTTTACTTTACCTAAATTAATATATACATATATGTGTGTGTGTGTTAGAATGAAAATTGAAATTTTGCTATTGAATATTCCCCTTAGGACATCGGGTCACGGGGTTTAAAAGGATCTTTTAGAATACGAGAACCTATTGAGAAATGAAAAAAAAAATCAAATATCCGATGTTGTAGAGCTTTTTAAGGCGTGTTGAATAGTACAAGAAATATTGTTATTCTTAGTATTTGTAAAATATTTTTTCTCACATACAATTTTATAGAGTTTTTAATGGACTACAACTTTCTATATGTATTATCTCCGGTCATCTTGTGAGTGTGTTAGTCGTGTATCAGTAAACAAGATTTTTTTCTATACCATTCGACGCGCCTAAAAAAACTCTACAACATTGAATATTTGCTTTTTCATTTCTCAATAGATCCTCTTATCCAAATATCGTGATCAGAACTTTTCGTATATTCTAAGTATTTTCAATATTTACGCGATTTCTTTTTTGGTTTTATTTAGAATAAAAATTATATACGCGTTTTTGAAAAATAATGTTTAATTGTTGAAAAAATAAAAAGAACATCATATTCGCGATAAAAAAAGCGTATAGATTTTATATACTTGGAGGAATGCGAATGTCCTTGTTTTCTTCCGTCAATTCTGACGTCTACATCCAATTCTAATTTTGTCTCAAAAAAAAAAACTCAGATTATAAATCAATTCGGACTTTGTTCGGATTCCAATTTTGACCTACAAAAAAAAATTGCCGCCTGACAAATGAATTTTTTTGGATATTTTTAAACCTTTCGTTTGAGAGTTTTTGTCAAATGTTAGAGGACAGCTGTATGTATTTAGCGGAACGGATCTATGAGTCATATGAGATTAATGAATTAAGGATGCGGATGAAATTTTCCGTACAATAAAGACCTGTCTGTACTAGTTGGCATAAAAATTGTTAAGAACCAATGACTGAAATTTTGTGAAACAGCAGGACTAGTAAAGCAATTCTTGAGAAATAAATTAGGGTGGTATGGTCTTCAAATCTCGAAGAACGTTACACGAAGACCGACATAGAGTTTTGTATACATACTCCAAATTGTTTTATCCATTAGAAAAAAGGCAGGAGTTTTTAGTTTTATTTATTTAAAAAGAGCGTGTATCCTTTATTCAGGTCTTCCTTTGATCTTGGGCCAGGTACATTCAAATCACACGAAATTTTCACGATATGTTTTAACTGCAGTGGAGAAACTATGGTAAAAATTCCAGTCTACTGAACAATATTTATATATTAGCAACGGTATATCAAACTGAAGTTTCTTTTTTAAAATTCTTACTTTTTATACGGAGAGAAAGGATCATCCATTTATAGAAGTGCTTTTTTATATAATAAGAATAACTTAAGGGGGGAGGGGGCGCACCTCAGAAACTGACTTTGTTATTTTTCGTCCGATTTCAACCAAATTTTTTGGAGAATATTAGTCTAGGCTAGGATAGATCATAGGTGAATTATCTTCCACAAACCTCCAAGATACTAACGAGTTATAATCAATTCATCGATCCAAAGTGCTCTGTACGCGGGCAAGATTTTTGCAATCAGTATACGAGCTAACATGCCGGAGCGATTTTTAAATTGTAGAGCACTCTTAGGGTTAGATCCTCACAGAGTCCGATTCTTGAAATTCCCTTTGTTTGTTTTTTAAAAAGTCTTTTTCGAAAAATTCCCGAATTCATGGCCAAAAAAGTTGCTGATCAAAATGAAATATGTAAGTTTTTTATTTCATCAACAGAGAAATTCAAAAATCGGGCTCTGTGAGGATCTAGCCCTAACTGTCCTCTATAGAATAAAAGAAAAAAAAATTATCACTTCTCTATTGAGTCGTCATTAAGAAAACCTTGTCCACGTAAACGGTGCTGTCGAAAAAATTAATTTTGAGAAAAACGCTAAATAAATTCTAGAAATTGATTTTTGTGAAACACATGTAAATTATATATCAATACTCAGAACAGGCTATAGATCTTTGATCTTTATCTTAAGTATTAATAGCCTCGTAGTTGGACCTAAGTTTTAGACGGTAAGTCCATCAAAATCTGTTCATTTTGCAAAAAACCATAGATATGGTGAAAGAGGCGACTTCGGTAGATCTTCCTATTACAAAAACTCGACTTTGACCTTTCTTCAAAAAATGGGTTCCGCCATGTATTGCAGCTTCTAATGTTCTTTTAAACAGAAAAATATACAATTGGCTACTATGAAGTTCGTTCGAGAATTTGGAAAAAGTTCTGGACAAAAGTATATCTTTTCAAATATTGTCAAAAAAAAAATCATAGCAATTATGAAAGATTACATCTCGGACGATGCTCTCCTATGCATTTATCTCAATTTCGATGAAAGTTGACTTTTTTTTTTTTGTTTTCAACGAGAGGATGGTTCAGTGTTAGATAATGAATTAAAAAACAAAAAAAAAATCATAGAAAATAAATTTTACCAAGTTGAACAGGTAATGTTCGAATTAAATTTCCACTTAATAATAAATATCGTAATGAATGATTTTTATCGAGACCAAGACTCGGAATTTGAGTGATTTTATTATTACGTAGATCGATCCATTTTAAATTTGGTAATCGAAGAAATAAATCATCTGGTAATTGTGTTATTTCATTACCTTCTAAATATAAATACTAAAAAGAAAAAAGATAATGAAAGTTTCTTGTTTTTATTGAGATTGAATTTATAAGAAAGTATTTACTTGCAATGAAGGAAATTCTAATAATGTTTGAGGAAATTCAATAATATTTTTTTTTGAAAGATCAAGACAATTATAATTTTGTTCTTTAGCTTTTATTATAAATTGAGTAAGATCATCTTCTTTTTTATTTTCATTAATATGAAGAATTTCATTAACTTGATCATGAACATCTGATGAAATATCATCATTTTGAATTTCTTTTTCTTGTAAATCTAATTCAGGTGATGAAGATAATGATAATTCAGATAAATTATCATCAATATCATTATTTGATGATTTACTATTTTCTTCTTCATTTTCGGATAGATCTGGTTGAAATTCATTATCATTCGTCATGTTCAAGTTAACATTTATAATAATTTTTATTATGTAAATACTTCTGAAGTATGAGTGCCTTTCTTTTTTTTTCTTTTATTTATACCATATTTTTTTATTATGTTAGTCAATTGCAACCTAGCAACAGCAGCTATATACAACATAAAATCTAACGCCATCTTCCACAAAAACTTGGATATTGTTAATGCATGTAATTCATTTTTTGATCATGCTATTCGACTAATATTTAATTACATCAAATGACAATGTTCAGCATGTTTTTTTTTTTTTTGAAATCTTTCTAAATAAATATATAATATGTATTAACAATCTTTTTCAAATAAAAGTAATGTTAGACATAATAATGATTCTTGTAAGTCAAGCAAACAACAAAACAATTGAATTCTTTCTCGCTATAAGCTATTTTTGCTAAAGTGTTTGGTGATGTATAGAGCATAGAGTTAAAAGCTTCGAGAAGTACTCACGATCAATTCAAGGAAATCACAGGAACAAAAATTTTCATTTGATTATTCGTGCTTCGTCACGTCGCTAACGAAGAGTAAATTGAATTCTTTTGAAAAGTTTAGGAATGCTGAGAAAAAAAAAAAACTTCAGATGGAAATCTTGTAGCCTTAGGAATTGTTTAAAACTAAAATGTATGAAGTGAAAGTTGATATCCTTTTTTTGTATCATGTCTTCACGCTTGATTTTTACTGATAAATTCATGTGAACAAAGATCTGTAGGATCGACTTTTTCAGTGAATCTAGACTAATTCAATATACATATAACATATAAAAATCAGCTATATGAAAGTTCATTATGTCGAGATATTTGTCAAGTCATATTGCTAACAAATGATTTTGCTTATATAAGTCAATGAATTATACTTTAAGACTACAAAGCAATCCAATGAATGAAGGGTATGTCTGTGATTGTGAATTTGACTAATTATTACGTCAGAAAATGTTCGAAGCCGACAGACTCTTATGAGGAAATTATCACTTGTCGTTTGAGCTCATATCAGACTTACAGGCAGACTAGCAAGAGCGCAAAAGAATTCGTATCCATGGGCGTTTGACGCCTCATTATAGCCAATATCTTGAATTTTCGACTCATTTGTGGGTAGCTTCCTAAAAATCAAATAACGGAGTTTCGATCTAAAATTCTGACTATAGATAGATCTAATGACTCTTAGAATATCCTGAAAGTTTCAGTTGAAAAGAATGTTCTTTTTTTCAAGATATTGAAATTTCAAAAATAGTCCTTTGTCACCAAAAAATCGAGCTTACCGGGCAATTCAATAACTTAACGAAGGACCATTCCTTTCGACTGAAACTTGTAAGATACTGCACGGCTATTTCCTCCTTTAACGTATGACCTTAGATGTTTAACCTTTCATCCGGTAACAGACATACAGAAATCCGGTATTATGTATATAGATAGATAGCCCTACGGCTTCATCCTCTTATATCGCACATATTTCTATAGTCCAGGTAGCCTTCGGCCTTATATCCCTTGTAGCTCTTCTAACTTTATCTTCTTTTTGCTTTACCCCTTATTAGCTATCCTCTTACTGCCTTACTCCCTTGAGGGCCTAAGAGTATCCTAATACAGTAGCCCTTGGGTCCTCCGCTTATAGCCTTATTTGACCTTGGATCTGGGAACCGGCACAGACAGATACTAAGCATTATATATATATAGATTCTAAAAGTCAATATACGTATCTATGATCAAAAATTTTGGATTGAAACTCCGTCATTTGGTTTTTCGAGACATACCTAAATTGGGTCGATAGTCATAAATTGACGCCAAAGACCCATGGGGACGAACATTTTTACACTTTTACTAGTCCCACTGACACCTATCTGTGGGTCTAATATAATCTCAAACAGCAGGTGTCAGTTGAGGTAGTTTCCTCGTTAATGTAGATCTATTTCATCGAACAAAAGTATTTAAACATTTATCTCTAATAAGAATTTGTCTATATTAATGTTAAAAAGAAGAAGAAAATTTTTTTTATTATGAAGAATAATTACGAGTAATTCATCAAACACAAATATGACTATAGAAAAGAGTTCATGCAAGTCAAAAACAAAATAGACTTAAATAATAATTTTGTCTATTCGCGCTTGATTGATATTCATTATTTTTTATTTTAAATAAACGAAATAATCTAATGTCATCATCATCATCAGATTTTATTAAACTACATTTGAATAAATCTCTTAAATCTCGTCATAATTCAACATTTTATCAAGATTTATTAAAACCTCAAATAACATTAGATCATAAAGAAAATCAATTATTAGCAAATAAAAAAACTCATTTAAAAATAAATCAATTTCAACAGTCTTCATCTGTACGAAACAATATTATTCCTTTATCAAATAATACATCAATAATAGATCATAAATTGAATACAATTGAAAATAAAACTTTTAATCAAAATCATAATAATGAAAATGTAATCAAACCATTATTCAATTATCTACATCGACCACTTCCTAAACATTTACGATCTCGTGAATTAAATACAAAAGAATGGTTTTATACAGAAAGTAATAATATTTTATTTGATTAATAGAAATGAAGAAAAAATAAAAATTCATTGTCCAATTGTTAACTTCATTATTAACAATTTATTCTTCGTTTTTTGTATTCATATTTATTTGATTAGATGAATTCTGTGGTATAACAGTTGTTAAAATTCGTGATAATGGTTCATTGAAATCCATATGATGATATGATAAATTGTCAAATCTAATTAGAAATATTAAACTCAAAATAAACAAAGAAAAAATAGAATTTTCTACTTATGAAATGCTGTTGCTGTTGTATACGCATAATCAGATTCATCATGATGAGATACGGGATCAATCTTGGTCCAATGTGATTTTCCCGTATAATATGGAATATTTGTTTTACTAAAACAGAATATATTTAATACTTTGCCAACGTCGTACGTCAAAGCTATCTATTCTCTAGAACTTCTTAGCTATTTCAAATCTACTAGCAACGTGTGTCACGAGTATACTAGCTTGAATTCATTTTATATAAGTCTGTCTTCTTCCCTGAATCTTATGAAGTTTGATGATTTTTCACGAACTTCACTAGTTTTCTTGATATATACTCTTCATGAAAAAAATCTTTAGCTTACAAAGGATTCAACGTAAATTTCGGTTGTTCAGTACGAAGTATTGTATAAGGTTGAAAATCAACTTCTGGATTATCAATATCATGTATATTATAACCACCAATTGAACCTGAGTAACCTGATATTTGTTGTGCACGTGATAATGGTGCAATATTAAGAAAAGGTTTTTGATTATAATGAATATTTCGTGATTGTAGACGATCCCATTGAAGAATATTACATGTACGTTTATCATCAAGTGATAAATGACTTTTTGATTTTAATAATGGATCACTACCATTAATTTCATAAGTTGTTAATGGTACTGGTAATTTCGATGGTAATTTTGAATCTAAGAATTTGTTTTTTTTTGTATTTGAAGAAAAAAAGATTAGAAATAAATAATGATTGATTTTTTTTGATCTTACCCCATGGTATTTCATCAAAAGCAGCTTGTTGCATGGATGTATATATAAAATGATTAGCAAGTTCATTACGATTCAATCGATTTGTTTTTAATCCTTGTTGTTGTTGTTTTCGATTATATGTAAGATTAGATTGAAGTGATTGATTTCGAAGACAATCTTCTTTAGAATTTAGTGTATCTAGAAAGAAGAGAGTTTTGAAAGAATATTATAGAGAAATAATTACCACCGAAACTTAATCGATTACGAATTGTTTGATCTAAGACTAATCGATCGCTAAAACGAGGTACAATTTCGTTATCAAGACCTTGTTCATGTCTGAAAGCAAAAACAAAACGCTCCGTATATTGATTCGAAGTCTGTTTTTTAAAGATTTTATATCATACCGAAGTAAAGGAATAGCTGCTGAATGATTACGTACTGTTGTAATTTGACTTGGTATAATTTGTTGAGGATCAAGACGAGTTTTTCCAAATGAAAGTTTTGCTAATGCTTTATTTGACACATCCAATGGGCGATGATAAATAATTCTAGGTGGTTGAATAGAACTTTCATCTATTTGTTTACGTACAATACTTTCAAAATATCCTTGTCTTTCATAGTCTACAGTTGAATTATCCAAATGAAGATGCGTATTAACATTAGGTTTACGTTGTAAACGATAGAGACGTTTAACTTGATGTTTATCAACAACTGTTGGTCCATGACTTTCATTCGATGTCAAGAATGTTTCAAAATTTGATCGTGTTAATTTAGTTGAATTTTCAAGACAATAAGTTTGTGAAGCAACAACTTGTGACATTATCAATTGAATAACTAATAGATTAAAACTATTGCCATTTATATATTATGATACTTAGCAACAATTCTTCTATTTGATTTTCCAAGTTTTTGTTTCTTTTTTATTTTCTTACACGTCGCTAGTAAATGATTTATTTTGAGAGACATCTGTTGGGAAAATTTATTATCAAAGAAAAATGAATATTTGATTGAAAAAGTTTTAGTTCAAATCTAGTTCTCTATTAAATGAATCTAGGCAAAGATCGAAGACAACCTATGAGTAATTTCACTTGCTGTTAAGTATAGATACTGCTAGGCGTGCAGTTCTATGTATCTTGATTAATGTTATCGATTGAAAGACAAATATAAAAAAAAAAAGGTTTTTGGTGTCAATGGTTATTATCCGTGCAGATTCTTTTTTTCAATATTTTCTATTCCAGAAAATTTTTAAACAGTAACGTATAGAAGCATAAACAATATTTTTCTGTTCTTTCGAAAAATAAACGGTATTAATGTCTAGTTCAATAATTCTGCCTAGTAGAACTTATGATTTGAATTATGGAAATATTTAATCCACACATAAAAGCAACAGTTTTTATTATTCAAAACAATTCCCTATACAAAAAAAAAGAAAAAGAAAAAAAACAACAACAACGACTAGTCAACACGCACACTTGATTATACAATAATTATACAATACTAGCTCGTGTCTGACAATTCGATGTGACATTATACCATCCACTATTACTAATTGATGATGATGATGATGGTGATATTTTATGTTTTTTTTCATCATTTGTTATTGATGATTTTGTGAGCATTTTATCAAGTAAAATAATTCCATTAAGTAATGGTGGTGGTTGTGGTTGTTGTAATTTTGTTTGAATATCTTTTGTTGCTTGATTAAGAATTGTTTGTAATGTTGGAAAATTATTTGATTGATTTTGTGGTAAATTTGTTAGAATAGGTAAATTTTGATTTATATTTGTTATTGATATATCATGTTTTATTTGTTTAGGTAATGTACCAAATGTTGATGATGTATTTTGAAAAAGATCATTAAAAACATTATTTGTTGGATTAATTGATGTTGTTTGAAAACTAACATTTTTTGTTTGTTGACGTCGTGTTGATTTTCGTGTAAGAGTTGTAAGTGCTGATACAGTTGATGAAGGGAGATTTTGATGATTATTATTATTATTACTGTGTGAACGATCAAGATCTGATGTTGATGATGATGATGTACCATTAAATGGAGAAGAAAGAAGTGATGAAGAAAATTCAGCATCCATTATTGATGGACTATTACCAGATGGAATTTGTGAATTCTAAAATAAAGAATTTTTATTTTTTAATTTCAATAATTCTTCTTCTTTTTATTTTATATTAGCTTTAAAAAAAAAAGAAGCCACCATATTTCTCTAATCGAAAAAGAGAAGGTCATTAGCAGCCACATGGCCATTCAAAATGATACGTATGCGCTCAGTTGAGCAAGAAAAAACAATCATCATCACTCGATTGATCCTATGTATACGTATCGTAGTAAAGGTCAAAAATAGTAGTGTTGATATATATACTCCAAAAAATAAAATGAATGACACATTCAAGATATAAACACATTAGTATAACGTACTTTTCTTTGTTTAGTAATAATATTATAATCATTATTATGAATTGATGGTAAAATAACGGTTGTCGATTTTGTTTGTGGACTATTTTGTTTTGATTTATCTTCATCATTAACAATTAATCTACTACCATATAATTTTTTTTCAACATTTTTTCTTATACATAAATAATAAATAATAAAAATAATAATAAAACTTATAATAAAAAATATTAAAATAATTGTAATTAACATTGAAAATTTTTTAAATGTTTTATTTATATTATTAAATAAATTTAATCTTAATAAATTTCTTTTATTAATAATAATAATATTTAAAATTTTTTTTATTTCAAATTCATAATTTTTTATTTGAAATTCAATTTCATATATACCAGGTAATATAGATGAATTTTTTAACCATAATGAATTATTTAAACCAATATAAAAAAATTCATTATTATTTAATATTGTTAAATTAAATAAAGAATTCTTATCAAGATCATCATCTTGTATAATAATATCAGTTATAAATTGTGCTAATGGATTATTTATATCAATATATTTTGAATGATCATCAGAAAGTATATGTTGAATTTCATTTGATTCTGGCCATATAAATACAGGAGGATTATCATTGATATCCCTATGTACAAAACAAAAAAAAAAAAAGGAAAATTCTAAAAAAAAAAAGAAAATTCTTTTTCATACAAAATTTTAATTGTTACAATTGTTGATCCAAATGTTGAATTATCTGTTGCAATAATTGTTAATTTATATTCATCTTGTAATTCTCTATCAAATATAAATTTTGTTGAAATTTTACCATCATAATCAATAAAAAATAAATCTTCATAATTTCCTAATGTATAACTAATTATATCTTTATAATCTTGATCATATGCTTTAACTTGTCCAATATATTTAATTGTTCGATTTTCATATATTGAAAATTCATAATTATCTTTTTCAAATTTAGGTGAATATTCATTTATATTTATTATATTTATTTGTATATTAACATATGATTCAAGTGATGGTTCTCCATGATCACGTGCACATACTTGAAATTTATATATACGTTTTATTTCATAATCAAATGTTGTATTTGTTGATATAATACCATCATTTGATGTTATAAAAAAATATAATGATTTTGGATTTATTGTATATGTTATTTGTCCATTTATACCTTGATCATAATCATATGCATGAATTTGACCAATTATTGTTGGTATACGATTATTTTCAATTAAATCAAATGTATAATTTGTTTTAAATTGTGGTATTTGATCATTTATATCAGTTATATTTAATTCAAATGTCATTGAACGACGTAAACTTGGTTGACCAAAATCACGTGCACGTAATTCAATTTTATAATATGATATTGTTTCACGATCAAATTTATGTAAAGATTTAATAGCATAATAATTTAAACGTATTATTTCAACATAAAATAAATGATGAGGTTCAATTGTTAATTGAGCCTAAAAATAATTAATCGATATGAAAATTTATAAAATAAATTATGTAGATAATATTCAAACAGTATTGTATCTTGTGTATATGATTCTTATACTACGTGTTTGTCCTCTCGGAGTTAGTATTTCTTTTCAATCATATAAATATGACGTCAAAATTAACAATAAATCTATTTCTCTAATTAAATGAAGATTATATATATATATTTTAACATACTTTTCCTCGATCATCTGAGTCTTGATCATATACATTAACAAAAGCTAATGGTAAATTAATATCAAAAGATTCTTTTACATAAGCCATATTTCCATCATGATTATGTTCAAATATTGGATTAAATTTCATTTGTATTGATGGTGCATGATCATTTTGATCAAGTACATATATATATATAATACAGGTATCACTTAATGGATTAATTCCATTATCATATACTTGAACATTTAATTGATATATTTTATATAATTCATAATCAAGTATTTGATTTAATCTTAATATACCTGTTCTATTATCTAAATAAAAAAGATTATCATAATTATTTTCTAATATATATATTAATTCAGCATTTGAACCAATATCATCATCAATAGCATGTATTTGAAGTAAATATTCTGGTATAGTATTTTCAGCTATAGTAATATTATAAATAGATGATTCAAATCGTGGTCGACAATCATTTATATCACTGAATACAAAAAGAAAAAAAATTTTATTTAAAAAACTTATTTTTGTTTTTGTTTTTTTTCTTACAGAATTTCAATTGTTAATGTTTGTATTCCAATATTTGGTGGTTGTCCACGATCAATCGCCATTAATTTAAATAAATATTTTTCATTTAATTCTCGATCTAATTTTTCTTTAACAATTAATTCTAATTCTCGACTATGATTATCATAAATAATAGAAAATTGATATTGTTGATTATTATTTAATATTTCTAAACGATAATAATCAATACCATAATATAATGAATCTAAATCAATAGCTATTTCAAGTGGTATACGATGTCCAATAGGAACATTTTCAGCCATAAATATTTTTGATTCAATTTGAGAAAATTTTGGTATCATATCATTTATATCATAACATGATATTGGTTGTGATAATATATAATTATAAGGTGTTTGATTAAGATTAACTGTTAATGTTAATGTAAAATTACATTCATATATATTACCACCAATACATAAACGTTTTTGTACATAATCTTCACGATCTAAACGAGATTTTAATCTTATATATCCATTATTATATTCAAATGGTTGACTTGATTGACTATGAAGTAAAGATGCTTGATTTGTATGTACATTAAGTTTTTGAAATATTGGACGAAGATCAACAACAATTGTTGATATTGGACTTTCTTCATATATTGATACAGATGAAAGTATTTGTGAAACAATTGAATATGAATATAAGATAAAAAAATTTATTAATATCAATATGCTGAACAACATATTCATAATGTATTGAGTATAAGAATCGAACAAACATACATCTATCTATCTATAAAAGAGGGAAAAAGGAAGAAAGAAAAAAGAAAAAAAAAAGAAAAGGAAGAAGAAGAAGAAAAGGAAATAGCATAAATCAAAGGTATTAGTAGCAAAGAGTGCTCTTTTAGATTTAGGCTTTTTTCTCTCCAGTTATTGTTTATCGATAAATTTTCATTGTAATAGTCTTGAAACTAGTACACAATCTATATGGTAGACATTTTTTTAGTTTTTTGTTTGTTGGTAGTAATGATGGATACGACAAGTGATCGTCTGTCTCGCTTATAATATGGTTCAAGGATTTATTTTTTTTGTAATACAGGAAATTGTTATAGGGTTGTATATGAGGCGGGATTCTTCGTTTTTTTTTTTTCTTATGCATGAACGAAGTATCCGTTGTCTGCTTTATAGTCACGCAATCATATGAATTCGTCCATTCAGATCCTTATCTTTAAGTGATTTGGTCAATTGTATTTACCCCCCCGTCTCATCATTTAGACACAAGGGACAATGATTTTTTATGCAATAAACGGAAATAATCTGTCCGTTAAATTTTGACACGAAAGAAAATGAGATTTTTTTTTTTTTTTTTGTCTATTTATAAGATGATCTGTTTATTTCTTTGCGACATCGATTCGTCTGTTTATCTCTTCAATACAGATGGACATGAAAATGAAGCCATATGTAATGAATTTTCTTTTTCTATAGGGCAATAATCATCTCTCTTTGAACAACATCAGAGATTTATGGTTAAGAATATATAGACATATATATAGATGTTAGGTGTTAGATGTAGTAAATTGAATCATTTATTCTTTTAACTTGTGTAATGACTATTGATATATGGGAGTAGTCACAGATGGACTAAACATAGTCAAAATAAACGAATAACGATTAAGCCCTAATTGATAGGATGTCATCATGATATATAATCATACTAGTGAACATGGAAAGAAACTTTCGCGATATTATGCCGTTGCATGTCTACTTATAGAATATGTGTTTTTTTTTTTTTTTACTTAAGATTAAGATGAAATTGGCACATGCAATGTAATATTGATAGCTAATGATGCATGCACTTTAAACTTATTATGATTTACCTTGATGAAAATGAGAGAAAGAGAAAAAAAAACGAAGGAGAGAAGAGAGAGAGAGAACTAATGGTCAAGGTTGTATGTTGTTTGTAATCATATTTTAAAAGATGGAAGAAAAATTCAGATGACCATAACATCGATTAAGAATCGATCAAACTAAAAAAAATTAATTCTTACATAAGATACATATAAACTACAATAGATTTGACAAGAAACAAAACTCTGAATAAATGTATAGAAGTAGAAGAAGAAGAAAAAAAAAAAAGATGATCAATGAATGTACTTGTAACAGCAGTATCTCTTCCCACCATAAGATTTTTCTCTTTAATATATATTATTATATATGGGATTGTTTCTTTCTTATCGCACGCGTCTTTTGTTCTGGTCAAATTGACTCGTTAATCGATATGTTGGGAAAAACTAATCAAATCTTTTTCTTTTTTTTTTCACATATACACAAAAAAAAAAAAAGAAAGAAAGAAAGTCATAACAGACTTCTATCAAGCAAAGCAAAGTTCATTTATACATGTGTATATGACCTTCATGGGATGAACACACAAGCATGCCTCCTATTAGAACCGGAAACACATCACATATCAAACATTATTTATTAAGAAAGCAAAAAAAAAAAAAACGAGGAAAATTGTATATACATATTTATAAATTTAATCAGTTACTCTTGATTAACACTAAGAATTAATGATTGACTAAAGTAGCTGGTGGTTGAGTGATTACATCATGGATATCCTCATGTGTTTGTAAATGTCAATTATGCGTTAAAAACACAGCATGTATTGAACGTGAGAAGACATCATTGTGTATGTTTGTCAATATTTATAGCCGTGCTATGTATAAGCATGTGGTATTTTGTTGTAAATATAATCATATAATGATTATTTTTCTAATTTATTAAGAAATTATAAAGTTCAAATATTAATGCGCATATTTGTATAAAAAGAAAAAAGTACATTTGATATATTTTTAATTTTCATTAAGACATGATCAATGATCGATTGACATGTATATAAAAAGAAAAGGCTAGGGGGCAGTTGACTACATGTCAAAGTATGTAATCAAAAATGGACATTTTCTTCTTCAAGGATGGACGATCTAATGCTGTTGATGGAACTCATGGGAGTACACCTGTTTAACTAAAATAAAAATAGAAATGTCAATCTGTGTGCACATATGTCATCATAAATATTCTATTTCAATAGATGTGATGAACATTACCTTGATACTTATATATTACATTATAGAACATCCAATCAGTTTGTTTATTTTTTGTATTGAATAAACGTGTGCATCTTTTACTCTGATTACCGCATAGTGCATAACATTCATGAGATATGTATGTTTTTTTTTGGATGGGAAATAAATCAGCTGTTATCTTTTATTTCAATTGTACAAGCAAACAATGAAGTTAATGCAAAGATATTTTTACTTGAATTTCGAAAAAGTGATAAAAGAAGATCAATATATATGTTGTAGTCAAAATTAAAATTCAGTCAAATTTTAAATTTGACTAAATTTTCTGGGCAAATTTTAAATTTGGCTGATTTTTTGACTAGGCAAATTTTAAATTTGTCCAGATGATTCGTCAAATTTTAAATTTGACTGAATTTTAATTTTGACCACAACATATATATAGATTTTTTCGAAAATTCTACGAAGTAATTATACAATGTCTGAAAGAAAAAGAAAAATAAGGTTAATAGTTTGACAATAAATATCAAATAACATATGTATTGTTTCAAAATTAGTTTTTGTTTATTCACTCCTTTCTTTTCCCATTAGTACAGTAACATGAAGAATAAGTTATTCAATACTGTCATGAAGAAGAGAAAAAAACCGATCAGAATTTCTCATGTCGTTCAATCTTCTTATTCTTCTAGTACATGGTTACTGGAGTAACCTAGACTACTCTATGCGAAGAGTAGAACACCTAATGGATCTAACTACATTATTAGCATATTAAAGAAGCTAATATTCTATTTATAACATCATTGGGCTAAGTGAATTCAAATAACACGAAATTTTCAAGATATGTTGAGGGTGTAGTAGAAAAGCTAGGATAAATTTTTCAGTCTTATATCATAATGCTTTCGAGGAGACAGTGGATCACATTAGTTTTTTGAAAATCTTACTATTTGTGGGATAGAATAATTCAATATCCTAAAAAATAACAAAGCTTAATTCAAAAAAGAGATTCTATCATGCTCTGCATCTTGACACACTCTTTCAAACAACAACAAACAAAATGAAGCTCCTTCGAGAATTCTAGACAAGTGTAAACAGAGAAAAAATATAAAAGATTTTTCAGGTAGATGATATGGCTCAATTTATCAATAATTTTTGATAATAAATCATATTGTCTATGACAGATCAGACCTTGGACTGTCTTCCCATGCATTCATCTTAATTCTAACAAAAATTGACTTTTTTTGAAGAACGAACCTTAAAGTCTTCGACTGTTTATTATACATCTGAGTTTAATTTAAACTATCTACATATACTTATTTATTGAATGATAAAGTCTGCGAAAAACAAAATTTTATTTTTCTAATCAATATAGCAAAAAAAATTTTGATATAAAAAATATTCAGCATTAAAAAGACTAAAATAGAATTTTTCACTATTTTCGAATATATGTTTAGATTTTCTTTATGCAATAAGATTGAATAACTATTAGTAAATTTTATGAAAAAAAAAGTTCAAAATTATATTTTTACAATAGAGGTATGACAAATACAAGTACAATAAGTAAAACCATTTTCCTTGTACTTTAATCTATCTTTTCATAGGTATCCTTGCACCTGTAATTATATTCATACATATATACACAAATAAAGTGATTGATATTTTTATTTAATGTATAAATATATAATAATAAATTTCGTCTATTAAAGTTGATTAATACTGATAAGATTTTTATGAACAAACCATATTGAATTTAAAATCAATGTAGTTAATCAAATCTATCTAGGTTAATAGAAGACGTCAAAGGCTAATTATTTCTAAATTGAACATTTCTCTGACATATAAAAACAAAATACTTTATATTAAAAAGAGTCTTAGGTTTTCAAAAATAAGCAAAAGTTTTGTATTTGAAATGTCCTTCATTGATGACAATAGTGAAATATTCAGAAAGATATTTCAAATATGCAAAAAAGACAAAAAATAACATTGATTCATATTATAGATAAAAGAACAAAATACAAATTTTTGCACTTAGGTATAAGTACTAAGTACCCTTTCCAAATGTACACGTGCAAATACTTTTATTCGAACTCTGTATTACAATAAAATATTGAAATCGGAATTGGTTGAAAAAAAAATCGTTGTACTTTTAAAAATACAAAAAATTCTTGTAATACAAAAGTAAATAGAAAGTTTTGTAGAGTAGATTGATACATCAAAAAAATGTCTTTGAATTTTAAATTTAATTAGGTTTCAATCGACATATATAAAATTATCTAAAATAGTATTCTATACAATCATTATTATTTTGATGATTACTTTTTTTTTTCAATATGATATACACGATTAGATATTCACCAAAAAAAAAATTATGCAAATACGAGGTTAAAGAAATAAGTATTGAATTATTGAATAAATAATTTTTATTTTTCTATTTCATTTATCTCTATATGTCATCAATAGTAATCATTAATAAGCATAAAAAACAGCAATCAAGGTAAACATGTCGAAGGTAGTAAAGAAAATACCTTTATTATGAATCATACTCGAAAAATTACGCAGAGATAAAAAGTCACGAGATAATGATTTATTATTTTGTTTACTGAATATTATTATTTTATTTAATATAGAATCTCTCAAATATACTAAACATATATTTTATGTAGTAATTTTAATTCGTCTTATAAATCACGCACATTCTATTTACTAAATGAATACAATAGCTTTGTATTTATTGCCTACTCATATTTCATCTAATACATTACAAGGAGGACGTTGATACTTCATCCGTTTGGACAAAAAAAAAAAAAGAGTATAATCACCTGTTTATGATGAAAAAAATACAAATGAAGTATTGAATATTGATCTTTCTCAAATCTTATGAAGATAAAATATTTATATTTCAGACAAAAATTACAATTTTCAATCGATATCAAAAACTCATGATATAATTATTTATAGCATGTAAAAGTCAAATTATTTCTGAAATACTTTTTTTCTGTTCAAATTTATTATCTTCATAATATTGTATTATTGAAGCTAAATGAATCATAAAACGATCATTACTTCCTACTGTTTCTATCATATAAGAAAAAAAAAAAAGAAATACTCAAAATCTAAGCATAATATTGTCTACTTAGATTAATTACAATTAATAAATTTTTCTTGTATTTAATCAAATTAAAAGAGAATTAATATATTATATTTATTTTTCAAATAGATTTCATAATAATTTAGCGAAAATTTTTTTCTAATGATTAAATTCTAAAAATTAGATATATCCTTCTTATCATACAAAACTTAATTAAGCAAAATCGATATACTTTTCTTTCTTTAAGGTGTCATTTTTTGTTCTGTCATATTCATATCACAATCATTATTCATCGATTTTTTTATAACGACAATCATATCAATAAAAGTCACGGTCATTCACGCTCTTATTTTACATGTTTTTAGTCCTCAATTATATGTATATATATATACATAAAGCTTTTTCTTTGCAATTAATTAACATAAAAAAGAAATATGAGCAACGAACCAAAAACGAAAGAAAAACCTATTTGAAGGTAATGACATCAGTAAACACATTCTTTCTTTCTTTCTTTCGTCGAACCAAATTGTACTCAATAAAAGATTCGCTTGAATGATTTTCTTTCGAAATACACTTCAATATATGAAGTGAAAAGAAAAAAGAAAAAAGTCAACATTTTAATATTATATTATAACATAATACTTGGAAACAATGCAAGAACAACAACAACCAAGACATAGACCTCGTCTTATTATAATGCGACATTCAGAACGATTAGATTCTGTTTTAAGAAATAATAATTGGCCACTACAAGCTTTTATAAATGGTGTTTATTCACCAAATCTTACACAAATGCCAACTGTATTACCAACACGTGCAGATCCTCATGAATATGTTCTTGATACACCATTATCAAGACATGGGAAAGCTCATGCTCATCATACAGGTGAATTTTTTCGTTCACTTGGTTTAAAACCTCATCGAGTATATACATCATCAGCAATGAGATGTGTTCAAACAGCTGATTCTGTACTTGATGGTCTTGGTAGACGTGAAAAAGTACCATTAAGAATTGATCTTGCTCTTCATGAACCAACTAAATTACAATTACCTTTACAATCAGCAGAATTTTTTGCATCAGCTGGTTTTTTTGTTGATTTAAATTATCGTCCTGTATTATTACCATCGAATAGTCGAATAATTACACGTGAATCACGTTCAGCATATTATAGACGAATGTATTATGTTTTAAAGAGAATTACAAATAAACTTATTAGACAAAGTATGAAAGTATCATCAACATCATCATCACCACCAACAGTTCTTATTGTTACACATCGACCATGTGTAACATTACTTGGAGCTTTATTAAATATTGATACAGTTGATGATAAAATGGTTTATCTTAGTGAAATGGAAAATAATAATGCTAGTGAAGTTAATTTTCTTTCAATGATTATTGCTGAATATGATGCTGAAACTGGTTTATGGATGTTTCTATCTGATTTTCCTCAATTGAAAACAGATTCATTACTAACAACAGCTAAACTAAAAATTTAGTCAAAACTTTTCTTTTCTTTTTTTGTTTTTTTTTGTTTTTTATTGAAATGTAAATCATGATATTTCTTTCGTTAAAATAAAAAGTAAACGAATGAAAAGAGAAAAAAGTCATTGATTGGTTGATTTATTTCTTAGAGGTTAAATAGGGATTGTTCATGGTAAATTAAAGTGGTGATGTCGCTTTATATTCACGTTTTTTTTTTTCTATTCTATTCTATTCTTATTGATTTAACTGACATTCGTTGGTTTCACTATCCCATTATGTATATTCTTACATTTTAATGTTAGGAATAATTTAAAGAAAGATCTCTTTTTTTTTGCTTTTTGCATTTTTTGTTATTGATTTTAGATCAATTGTCAAATTTTTGTTTTGTTAGTTAATTTACATTGTAGAATTTCTTTCGTGTTACAATCAGGTGAGAATTTCTTTTTTTTTTTATTTATATATTAAATTTCACTTCTCTTCTTTTTCTTGGATAAAGATTGTGAATGACATATAAGTGTGAAAGCATCTTGTTTTCTTTTCTTTTTTTTTTTTTTTTATTAAACTTGTCTGTTTATTTCTCATTTGGACTTGTGCCAAGCACAAAAAAAAAAAAAAAGAAATACATGAGTGTCTACGTCGTTCAATTAGAAGCCTGTTCGATGTTGTCGTCCATTCTCTTTCTTTTCTTTCGGCTAGACAACAAATTGCATCTCTCCTTACTCTCTCACTTTCGGCTACTACACTACTCATTCTTTTGCTGGTCACAACGTTCATATTGTCGGTCATTCTCTATGTCTACTCAATGTATGAGTGAACGAGAAAAAAGAGAACGCAAGTTTTCAATATAATAAGTATGCGGTCGGGTGCGCACGTTTGAGAGTTACTTCTATTATTACTGCTGTTGCTCTCGAACATTAGTACATCTATCTTTCTCTGTGTTTGTATTAAGCGTGCATGAAAAGAGATGGATTGAATGAGAAGGGGAAGAATGCATGCAAATCAATAAGTTTTGATATGAATGATACAGAAAAAGAAAATGAACTTTGGCGGTAAGCTACTCTATTGATCTCGTGGCTGATGCATTTGTTAATTCAAGGTTCTTTTTTTTTTTTTTTCTACTGGTGGCTTCCAAGCATATATAAAATAGTAGACTTGTCATATTTTCTTTCCGGTTCTCTCATTTTTCTCTTGCATGCATGCAATCAAGTGTATGTAAAATGGATTCAAATCGAGAGAAAGAGAACAAGTCTATTTACTGAATATAAGAGAAAAATCGTACATTTGTATTGACTACCATATGTCTTATATCTTATAGAATATGATAGTCAAGAAAAAGACTATTACATACTATTTATACGAGAGACAAAATAGAATACACGAGCTATCAAATGATAGTATGAAGAATGAACCAATGCTGATTAATAAGCAGATAAACATTCTATGTAGGCGTTAGTAAACCTATGTATACATAGAAGAAGCATAAATCTACAAAAAAAAAAAAAAAAGAAAGACTCTATTTGCTAAGATAGAAGGTGTCTATACACATTTGACCAGGCGTTTTTTGTTATGTTTATATCCATCGAGTAAACTAAGGCATCTTGTTATAGTAAAAGATTAGTTTGTCGAACGAAAAGAGGTTATTCGTATAATATACAATATCTTTAAAGGATTCAGATGTTATTTTATTTCGTGTTGATTAACTTTTTTTTTTTAACCTGAGGTCGACTTTAAGATGTATCGATAAGATATTAGTTTGATTCATTTATTTATTTGTGTATATATATACATGTTAGACAATTCAATTTCATCATTCGACCTTTGTTTCGCTGTGTTGAATGTGACGAATCGATAAATAATCAATATTTCATCGTCTCAGAAAAAAAAATACAGACATCAACCGAATAAAAACCCTATTTTTTATTAGAAGGCCAACAACTTATTCTTGCGTTTTTTTTTTCTTACTTATTCTTGTATTCGCTCGATTGCCTATGCAAACGAGCCATAACTTCTCGAGTATTGGTGTCAGAGTCTTATATAAGACTATTTCAACAAGTGTCACCTGTCACTTAGCAAAGAGATTTTTTTTCTCTCTCACTCTTTCTCTCTCTCTTGCTCTTTTTTTGTCGAAAAGCAAACATCTATTCATTGTTTGACATTTACTTTATCTGATTTAATCGAATAACCTTTTTTCTTTTTCTTTTGTTCTAGTCGTTTTATATTAAATATCATTTATTTGTAACTACAAATGCCCGGCGAAACAACGACAGATGATCCACAACGTGAACGTCTTGTCTATACATATACATATACATCAGACGGTGACAATGGTCAACCACCACAATCAAATACAGTTAAAGTAACAACAACAGTTGAAGAAGAAACAACACCTGATGGAACAAAAGTTGTGCGTAAAAAAGAAGAATCTCAACAAGTATCAAAAGTAACTAAAATACAAAAAATAACACGTGTACATCGTCATCTTATTGATCCATTAACTGGTGAACTTATACGACAAGATGATCCAAGATATCAAGCATTAATTGCTGAATATGGTGAACCAACACCAACAACATGGTCAGATGAACATATTGTTTATGAAGGTACATCAATACCAACAAATGGTATTATAACAAAACATGAAACAAGTACTGGTTTTTCACCAAATTCATCTTTTACTCAACAAAAGTAAATTTAAAGATTTCTTTTTTGAGATTTGAAAAATAAAAATTTTTATTATTTAGATCTCGATTACGATTAAATGATGAACATTCCCCATCATCAGCACGTTCATCTCAACGTTCAACAACAACAACACATCATCATCAACAACAACAACAACAACAACAACAACAACATTCAACTTATGAACAACAAACAAATCGAAGTGATCGAAGTACATATACATCTGGTGGTGATAGAACTGATACAGGAGTATCAATAACAAATGGATCAAAATATGATAATCGAGGTAAATATTTAAATGGACGATTATCAGGAAGAATACCACCACAACAACATATGAATGGAAGTGGACGAAATGGTTATACACAAGAAAATTTTGAACAACGTTATACTAGTACACGTTATAATGAACCAGAAAATAATAAAAGTTTGTTTTTTTTTATTTACAAAAATCAATTTTGATATTTTTATTTAGTTAGTACTGATGAAAAAATTATTGATTATGATCCAAATGATCCAAATTTAGTTGATGAACCATATCTTGATGTTGAAAATCCTTATGAAGGTTTAGGTCCAGGTCGACCAGATAGTATTGGTCGTGCATTATTACCAACAGCTGGACGACAATCTCCTGATAGTATTGGACAAGGTAAATTATTAGATATAAGATATGTTCGCTTCTTTGGGGCATTACTGCTTTTTTTTTGTTCATATTCAAATAAAAAAAAGAAACGAATGTTTTCC